GATTGGACGAAGCATGATATTACAATAAGAGGCGAGAACAGTAAAGCTCGTCATAGTCTCCGGTCATCATAAGTAGTTTCCATGAACTTGTACTGACACCTAGAGGCCAGAACATGAATTGCAATGCTTCACTTACAGCTGAAGAGAGGAGGAAACTAAATTAGTCCATGACAAAATAAAAACCAAGTAGTTCTGTCCAAATAATGGAGACTGCAGTTAAGTTGTTTTTGTAATACTTCACTTTACACTTACACTTAACTTTGGCTTTCTGCACACAAAGTCAGCTGACTTCTTTTAGTTTCTGAAGGGTTATCACTCTCTTTTTGATCAGTCTTTTGATCAGCAAATTTTATTGTATTTTTCTATTTTTTCTTTGTTATTCATACTAATTTATTAAATGTTTATGGACATTGTTTCTCCTAATTTTTCCTCACACTTTTGCCATCCAGTCTGTTGTTTTTCTTGTTGAGTCTCACCGTGCACATTCTGTTCTCATCCTTATCCTGATCTAACAAACAGACATAACCTCCTTTAGGCGATCAAATGATGCCTGATGCTTTCACTTAACTTCACTTACATTTGTAGCTTTTCTGGTTGCTTTTGAATAACTGATTTCAAGATCATTTATAGTTTATGAGCATGGCCTTAAATTCATTATTTTTATTTGTTTGTTTTGTACTCATTTCCTGTTCGTGGATCAAATCCCAGTTTAGTTAACAATTAATTTCAAAGTTTGAAATTAAGTCTCTTCATGTTTTCAGGCGATCAAAGCCAGGGTGCTGCTTCTCCTGTGCAGCTGAAAAAGGATGTTGAGAGCATGGAGAAAGGTAAGGGCTGTTTGAGCACATCTCAGCTGCACTGACCATAGAAAACTAGTAATCTATACTAGATGGACATTTGTGAGATTGTGAGAGAATATTTTAATGCAACCACTCTCATATTTTCCTTCTGCTTTCTTCTGTCCTTCTGTAGAAGAGCTCCAGAAGGTTCTGCTGGAACAGATCGACTTCAGGAGGAGACTGGAGCAAGAGTTTCACGCTTTGAAGGGCACCTCACCATTTCCTGTCTTCCGTAAGTCAGTTTTTTCCCCCTTACCCTGATTTCTTTTTAGTTTCCATACTCTGAAGGGCAACTTCTCCTTTTCTGTCTTTCTTATAGTCTCTTACACCTTTACCTTTATCCCCATTTTTACCTTTCAGTTTTTTATTTTCGCCGATTTTTTTTTGCTCAACCCTTTTCTGTCATCGGCTGTCTTTATCACTCCAATTTTCCAAAATGACAATACACGCGCCACCTAATCAAGGTTTGTTTTTATTGTACGCTAATTTCAGACAATTTTCAAGATCAGATGAAACGAGAGCTCGCCTACAGAGAGGAGATGGTCCAACAGTTACAGATGGTAAGACTACTAATGTTAGTGCTTAACACTGATGGAAATATGCTTTTAAATGACAAATTAAACACCCTTTTTTAGATACACAAATTAAAAGAAAATCTTCATGATTGCCTTAAAAATTGTCTGCAAGGATTTTGAGAAAAAATATAATTAAGACTAATTATGCAGTACTTACTAAAATACAGTGACATCACATCAACCGAAACAAAAAAAAATCTAAAACCGATGAGGAAATGTGCCAGTCAATTCTCTGACTACTGCTAGAGATTGTATGCATACTTGGGAAATCCTTGCCATGGGTTAAAACAAAAACAAAAATTAAAGGCTGAATAAATGAAGCCATCACTAGGACTTGACCGGACACATGCGTTTGCTTATTTGTCCATCAAATGACAGAGCCAATCATCTAGTTTGTCTTTCACGGGTGAGAAGTTCCTTTGCAGCCATCTGAGTGTTTCCGTCGACATCAATCACTGGAGCAGCTGGCAGACAGGCTGACAGACGCTGTTTGTCTTTGTTTTCTGACACATGCCACCACTGTACACGCTTGTGTGCACACAGTGGCAAGGCGTGCGCCAAAACGCACACAAGAACATGCATTCATGTAATCACAAAGGCAGGCGATTATGAATATGGGTTCAAGCTAATTTATAAGCCTGTATGTGCACACCAAATGCACATACTCACGTAAATAATTGACAAATGTGTCTAGAACCAGCAGATGGATCTGTCTGAGAGTAATGACACATTAAGTTCACACAGACATGCAAATGAACTCCAAAAAATGTTTAATTTGTGTTGACAGACTTTTACTTTCACCAGCTTGGCTAGAGTTTTGGATTTTCATATTTCCACCAATGATAAAATCATAATAGTAAAGTTTACTTTAGAGAACCTTTTTCAGTGTTAAAGGTATTTCTTTAGGAAGAATGTAACGTTTTATGTCGCGTTTTTGCCTTTCAGATTCCCTACGCAAACATCATCAGAAAAGAAAAGATCAGCTCCCATCTCAACAAGTAGCAAAGAGGTGAATATTTTTCAGTAAATTTAAAATGAAGCTTAAAGAAATGTAAAAATAAATAGTTATCACATAAAAAGCTTTTGACAAGCTGCACATTATTAAGCCTCATATTTACATCATAATAGAGATAATGGCAAGACAGTGAAATATACTTAATTTTCATTTGATTGATAATAAACTGTCTTATAGCATTAACACATTTGGCATTACTGGCTACATTTTATTATAATTTTCTGGGGTGATTCTAAACAATCAGTTAAATCAGTATGGAAAAACTCTTACCCTGAATGTAAAACTAATGTAATTTCCCTTTTTTTTAGGATTAGCACACAGAAAACTGACAGAGACCATCACCGACAGAGAGGATGTGAAACTATATCATACATTATATTACTTTTCGCGGGACAGCAATTATTCTGCTGCTTCTTCGATATCACCTCTGTTAGTTGCTCTCTACACACTGCCTGCTAAGAACTCATGTGAGGCTGTGGGACATCATACTGGTAAAAGATTTCTAAAGTTTTTCCTCTTTTTCCCTGGTTCAAGTTCCCTAACTGAACTTAATTGACTGAAACCTGTGACACAGTGTGTTGGCAGTCACGTTCAAAGCATTAGCCAACCGGGACCAAAGCAACCTCGCCCTTTGAGGACCACCAGGAAGGCAGTTGTAGATGTCAGAAAACTAATTTCCAGGCATAAAAAAAAAGTAAATAAAGATTGGATGTTTTTATCTGCCCATGGGCTCAACTGTACATTGGCCAAACTCTGGATGAAAAAGGACTAAGATAGGTTGTATTTGTATCACCAAGTGATGGCCCTGAAGAGAAACAAGCACGACAACATTTATCTATTATCAACATTTGATCCCAAAGGGACTTCATCATGTTCAACTCTAATCATTCCCTGTAAACACGAGCCACCACCACCAGTTTGTCAGTGGCTGGACACACACAACCTTGGTTTAGTATGTCAGATGAATTAAAATAAATAAATAAATAAAGCACTGATATTTACAATGGTACTACAACACGGTACCACAAAAAACGTCCACATATATGTATATATATATATATATATATATATATACATATATATATATATATATATATACATATATATATATATATATATATATATATAAATTTTGCAGTTTACAACTCTATTAACAGCATTTCAAAACCACCGTTTTTACCTTGTCCTTAATTAATGTCACATCTGATTATATTTAATACTTTATTTATAAAGTCAGAGTTACCTGAAATTATGTCCTGTGTCACATTAACTGCAGACTGTGTACCATATGGAACTGAGCAGCTGTAAGACACAGTGAAGGTTCATTCTCCCACAAGACGTTTTCCTGTCGTAACGTCTTATGATTATCACTAAATAAATATTGCTGCCATCAGCTGCAGAATCTGCCTCGTTGTTTTGGAAATGAAAAACTCTGTACACGTGCTTTCTCTCCAGAAAGAGCATCCGAGAGTAAAGGCCTGAAGTTTGTCAGTGTTGTATATTTATATGTAAATTATTTCACCTTATTGTATAAAATGTCATACATGTGAATACTGATCTTCACAGTCATTCTACCTATCTCTCTGTGTGTGTGTGTGTGTGTGCGTTTTGTTTTGTTTTTTTGCTTTTTTTTGTTTATTTATTTGAGTATCAACTCCTGAGACCCCAATTGTGATAATACTATTTATTATAATGTGAAATGAAAAAGAAAGAGACACAGGGGTGGTGGCGATGATGGTGATGTTTGAGCAAAATCAAAAAGAGCAAAAGTGACAACTCACTCATCTTGTTTATAAAATAAATGGACAAAGTTGTCATTTACTGAGAAAATGTTATCATTAGAAGCTGTTATTGCAGATGTATTTCAGAATGTTCTTGTAGTTTCTCTACTATTTATGTGTAAATTAAAAGTCTATATGAAAAACTGAATGTGGAGGACTAGTTCATGTTTGTGTGGATGGAGTCCCTTTACCCAGAACATGAAGTTCTTTCTGAAACTAAAAGCAGGCTGTTAAGAAGATCCCGGTTATTATATCTAAATGCAAACTTATGTTTTATGGGAAGTGTGGTTCAGAAGATGGAGTGGGCTGTTGACTAGTCAGAAGTAAGTGTTTTTCTATATGTCAAACTGTCCTTCAGCAAAATATTGAATGCTAAGTGCATCCATCAGAGTGTGAGTGTGGGACTGTTAAGTTAAACTTGCTTAGCCATAGAAAAAGGTGCTTGTGTAAATGTATGTGTGAATGAGTGGATCAAGTTTGCAATAAGCAAGCACTCGGGGATCTGCATGCATGCTTGTGTTGCCTCTTAAAGATGCTGTAGAAATTTTAAAAAAAAGAAAAAAAAAAGGTAAGAGTGAAGTCAAACTGATTTATAAGACCAATTCAAAACAACAGCCGAACAGCTAAAATGGCATAAAACAACAGGGCAGGTAAATCAAATGGAAATAGGATGGAAAAACACCAATAAAACAGTATAAGAAAAGAGTAATTGAGTGATGTGGTCACTTAATATTCATTGCGCGTGTGTGTGAATCTGGCTACGTCTGTTGCACGACGTCGGCATGCCTGTTTACGGCAGCAGCATCTCTGGGAGTGGCGGTAGAAGGAGGAGGAGAAGAAGAAGTTGCCAGCATGGCGTTTACTCTTTACTCTCTCATCCAGACCGCTATTCTGTGTACCAATGCAATCGCTGTGTTGCATGAGGAGAGATTTCTCAGCAAGAGTAAGTGTTTTTTATGTCACGTACATCATATGGTGAAATAACTGGTTAAAAGCAGCTAGCTACGCGTATACATTTAGCAGGCTGCCTCTTGGTTAATGGAGAGGCTCTTGTTTGGGATTTATAAGGAAGAATTAAGGGTTGAGCATTACAGAGAAAAAAAATGCAATGTTTTGAATAACATTAAAGCGGGTGGTCTTTTTTTTTAAACTGGAAAATAAACACGTATACATGCATCTGCTATCTCATTTACTGGTGTTTCTCATCTTTCTTCCCATCTGTCTCCTGTACTTTCTCTTCTCCTTTATTTCTCCGTGTGTCTGCAGTTGGTTGGGGTGTTGACCAGGGAGTTGGAGGTTTTGGAGATGATCCAGGAATCAAAGCCCAGATTCTCAATCTCATCCGCTCAGTCCGGACTGTCATGAGAGGTCGGTAGGCTGTATTGTTCATAAATCCTTAGCAGATCTTAAAAATAAGTAAATGTACTCTCATATTAACTGTAACTGTGAAGATACAACAGAGTAGAGGTAGTGAAGGCTTGAGGTTAAAAACCTGGGGCAGTGCACAAGAGAGGTGAAGAAGAGAGGAGAGATGGGGTGGAGATAAGTGTTAAGAGTGATTTATGGCAGGAAGAGTGAAGGGGAATGTTTAAAAGACAGCAGTGAGACCTGCTGTTTTATATGGTTTGGAAACAGAGGTGGCACAGTTTAAGCTGAGATTTTCATTGGGAGTGACCAGAGTAGCCAGGATTTATGAGTTTCATGTAGTGAAAGAGGACATTCAGAGGGTTGGTGTGTCAGAGGAGGATGTCACGGATAGGGTGCATGACTTACTTTGGACAGACACAAGACCAAAGTGGAGATTTGGGGTTGTTTTGGTCACAGCCAAAATTGGGTCAATCAGGATGACAATGATCCCAATCCCAGCAGCAAATCTACTACAGAATGGCTGAAAAAGGATAAGAATTCAAATGCTTCAGTGGCCCAGTCGAAGTCCAAAACTCAACTCCAATGAAATGCTGTGGCAGGACCTTAAGAGAACTGTGTGCACATGAATGACCACAAATATCAATGAACTGAAGCAACCCTGAAAAGAAGAGTGGGCCGATCCACAATCACGTTAGAGACTGATGAAAGGTGATTTTACAAGTTAGTGAATCGGATGCAATTAGTTTTTGACACACTGCTTCTGCATTTTGGCTTAGCTTTCATTAAATAACTAATGACACACTGTAATATGTCATATGTAATTATTTATTTGCAGTTGCATTTGCCTATTTTTAAGATCTGCTAAGGATTTTTGTTTAATACACAAAATCTTAAAAATGAAAGAGGGTGGACTTTAAGTTTATCATGACTGTCAACAAACTTTTTTTTTTCTGATGTTAACAAAATCAAATAACTTTTTCCTAAATAACCCAGTATTAAGTGAGCTAAATTGCTGGTGTGCTCTTCAATTTTTAATTCACTCTGCAACAGATGTATTTGAGTCAAGAATTAGCAGCTGTAATATTTCTGAGGTTGCTGATGGAATCAGTTTGATTACTTTGTGTTTTGTACTCTTTTGTTTTTACAGTGCCTTTGATAATAGTGAATTCTGCCTGCATCGTCCTGTTGCTGCTGTTTGGTTGATCTTCGCCTACCAAACTTAGGTGGAGGACCACAAACATGCCAATGAAAAGCCACTCGCACAAAATCCTGAACTCTTTGCCATTTAGAGACTTCTGCCACTGTCAGTTATTGGGAGGGCGGAAATGTTTTTCAACTGGCCGGCGCTGAAATAGAAGATCAACTGCAGATTTTTAAATGCAAAGAGAAGAAGAACTGAAAATTAGCTGGTGCAGACTTCCTGTTGTGTTTCATCACCACTAAAAGGACAAAATTGATGTAATTTTGTCGAGGTCATGACCACACAGGATGATGGTTTCATCTTGATCCCCGATATCATATCATTTGCAAATGTTTTTTTTTAAATCGGTATTTAAATAACCTGTTAGTACAGACAGATTTGTTGACACTTCATACTGTAAAAGGGGCCTGCAAAGTTTTTTTTTTTTTTTCCAAACATTTATGGGGCAACTAACAGCAGGTTCAAAAAGGAACACAATTCACAAATCTCTTCATATATATGTGTTGAATTGATTTGTAATTGGCCCATCTCTGAGAACTGAAAAGGCTAAATGGTGTAGATGTTAATTTTAAGCAATGCTGCCAAACGCAGCTCCGACCAATGTATTTTGAACTGTTTACACTTCAGTGCCACAAAAATTGAGATACTGTCTTGAAATAAATGTATCACTCAGTGTTGTGGAATTCCTTATGTTATGTTGCTTTCTGTGTGTGACAGCAGACAAACTTAAACAAATGACATTTCGATAAAACTTCCAGCTGTTTTGTTGATGAATGAAATATTAGATGTGTAGCAAGTAACGAAAATAAATGTTGCCTGTCCACTCTGTCAGGTTGGTGCCGATTTACATTGGTGACCAATGTGAAACTGAATTTAAAAATACGGTAGTGTATGTTACCTGGTGGCTTTACACATTCACATACAGTACTGTGCAGAAGTCTTGAGACACTTCTTGTTTTGTTTTGGGGGGGTTTTTTTTGCTGTTTGTTTTTGTTTCTAAAGTGATCTTGAACAATAGTTCTTTGGGAATTCTGAAGGTCTTTAAGTAGCCTGGAGCCTATTGGCTACACTTTATTTGTTTATTTTCAGAAAAATAGTTGTGTTTGTTAAGCCCATCATAAGAAATGTGCCTAACTCAAGCTCTAAATGTTATAAAATAGTACTTGTACCAACAAGGTGATTCCCAAAGAGCAATTAGCCAAAACCTTGGCAAAGAATATTCTGGCACAGCATGCAATGTGTCCTTAAAAGTACTGAGGAAACTGGACAAGGTGGAGGACCTAAGACAGATAAACCGTATCTGAAAGTCATGTCCTTAAGGAACAGGAAAAACATCATCAGAAATTGTCCCAGTGGAAGGGTGGCTGTCAAGAAGCAGTGTTAAGCAAGGAAAACGGTGAGAAAGGACTGAGATATACCAAATTGCACAAGAACTGAACCAAAAAAACAGCAGCAAACTATCACTCGTGGAGTGATAGTCCTCAGTATGTTAGGAGGAGGTCAGGAAAGAGGTGAAATGGTGAGTGTTTACAGTCATCTGTAGAACAAATGGAGGTTGGGGGCTTCATTTCAGTCACTGGTTTTGGGGATCTCATCAAAATGGAATTATGAATGCAGAAAATCTTATTTTACGAGTTCCCTTCACACAACTAAATAAACTTAACTCTATTTATTATTTTCTGTGCTCACAGTGGAGATTTGTTAGTTAGTTGTTTACTTAGTTGTGTGAAGGGAACTCACAAAGTTCCCGACTTCCCACCACCACTGTCATGTGTTAAAAAAACATAAATTACTGAACTTCAATAACTTAGTGAAACTTAAAAGAGTGTGTTTAATATATAAAGTCTTACACTCCCTTGCTCCACCACCACTAAAGCAGTTCATTAGGCATAAAGAAAGCTCAGACAGGACCACTCGAGCTACAATCCGAGGAAACTTGTTTATACTCTACAGACGGACAGCATTTGGGCAGAACGTCCTCTCTGTTAAGGGTGGCCATCTGTGGAACAGTCTTCCTCAACCCATTAGAGAATGCTCGACATTCAGTTTGTTTAAGGCAAAGGTTAAAAACTGGTTATGGACAAATCAAGTGTGTGATCATGCATGAGTTGTATAGTTTTAATGTTTTATTTGGGAACAGAATGGTGTGTATGTGTGAGTTTGATGATGGAGTTTTTATTATGGATAAATGATGAATTTTTATGAATTATTATGTCTATTTTTTTATGTTTAAGGACAACAGATGGAAATTAGCCCCTGGCTATAATCTGGCATGTTTACATTCATGTAATTTTTTTTTTTTACATTTATGTTCATTAACATGCACTGTCCTAAATAAATAAAGTAAGAATTTCATTGCAGCATAACTATTTGTGTTTTGCAGTGTATATGACAATAAACGTCTTGAATCTTGAAAAGTACCATAGGATTTTGACTCTCCTTGTAATACCATCTGGAAAGCTGAACAGCAACAGATGTATTTTTCAGTTTTTTCAATGATTCTATGCACTGCCAGTGCAGTAAAAGCATACCTAGAATTAAAATAAATAAATAAATCACTCAGTCATGGATTGCCCTTCCCAGAGCCCAGGAATCTGTATTATTGAAGCAGCCAACATCCAAAGAAGAGCTTTGAATGTCCTTCATGATGCCTGGAGAACTATTCCTGAAGACTATAGAAAGATTAAAAGAAAGCTACAGTATTACATACACATAATAAGGAATTTAAAATTTTGAGTATTTGTATATATCTTAGCTGGATACACTTAATAAATAGCAACTTTGTGTTTGGATTTACTGGGGAACAAAGGTCACATGCATCACTCTTTATTAAAAGTATTTTTAACAAATTTTCCTTTTTTAAAATTTTACTCTCACTTGACCAAAAGCGAGCACTTGTACCTGGATAAAGGATATCACTGTGTAAATATTGACATACACTATTTCTCTCAACTTCCTTTTTCTCTGTCTGACCAGCTCCACATCATTAATAATCTCCATATGCAGTGAATTATCACCATTCTCTATCCAGCTAAGCTCCACTTTTATTAACATTAGATGGAGGAGGGTGCGAGGGCAAAAGGGGATCTGCTGGAATTACAAGCATATGTTTATCAGAGAGATTTGTGCTGTAAAGCCACTTTGACATGTGATTCGTTTAGCTTGGAGGTCAGGAAAAAAAACTATAAGCAAGCACGCAATTATATCTGAATATGTGTCTGCAAAACACAGGTCAGGATGTGTGGTGTTTTGATCTGTGGGCCGTTAATAATAAATCACAAAAATATTTTTTGAAAGAATTGTGGTGAGTCGTGCTTACTTTAGAGTTTAATTTGAAAAGTATTCACATTGAATATAATTTACTGTAGCTATAATGGAAAAATACCCATTCTGTGAAACAATACAAAATATATACAACAGAGTTTAAAGAAAAACAAAATACAACACAGATCAAATCACTGATTACAGTTTTTAAAATACATATTAGATGGAAAAAAGTGCAGGGAAGAGAGAAGGCTGCAGGTGTTACAGGTGAAATTATAATTTAATAACAACAGAGCAATAGCAAGAGCCAGAGGAAGTGTAAAAAGAAAGAGCTACTGAAAATAAACCAGAATTAAAATCAGAAACAGATCAACACGTTAAAGTTGTGTTTTTGTTGGAAGGACCTTAAGACATGTGGGATTAGCTTATGTTTTCATTTTTTTCCACATCTATCATGTGCGCTTCAAACTATTTATGCAAAAAATAAACCCAGAAAGCTAAAAAAACAACAGTTGTTATTCACTATGTGGAGGTAACATGCAAAGAGGATTTGAATAGCGGCCTCTGGCATCCTGTAGAGAGAAGGTCTTTATCGCTGCGTTAATACCTCCCACCATATTAAATCTATCCGAATGCACTGAGCGACCCACTAATGCAATACATCTGTTACTTGTTAGTGTGATGGGACACATATGTTTTTTATTACTCTAATGAGTGATTAAGTGGTTAAGGATAACCCTCTTAACTGATTACAAATATAGAAATTGAAAAAATATAAGTTATAATAACACGACAAAAAGAGATTGATATTGACAAGAGAGAGTGATATTAAACATATGGTACTAAGATACATTTTTTTCTCTACAAAAATGTAGAACACAAGTTTTTTTTTCTGTTTTGAAAACATAATCCTGTACTGCATTTGAGCTGCAGGGGTCAGCAGTGACCACATAACAAACCCGTTTTAAATCTACGAAGAAGAAAACGTCAACAGGAAGTAGGAGGGTTGCTGCTGATGCTGTTGAAGGTTAGCTGTACTGGCTCTTTACGCTCTCAGTAGGTCAGTTTGTAGCGCTTTTGTACCTTTTATATAAATGGAAACTTTTATCATTAATTTTCTCATTTGGAAATGAATAATAAAGGTTTTTTAAATTATTGTGTCATGTATATAATTCCGAAAACATTCGAACCATTTTCTGTGTTATCACAATGAGTTTGAAAATAATTCATGCACAAAATACTAAAGCTTATTTATTGTTATTGTGTACATTACATCTCTCCTGATACAGCATGTAAACCCAGTTTTTGAAAGAGTGGTTCAGAAATATTATTTAAAATACTAAATAGCTTTCGAAAAAAACCCTTCCCCCCCTTGTGTTTTTGTCTATCTCCCAAGGACCAAACCTGTTTTTGCTTCAGAGTTTTGTCATGAGATGTTTTAATGCGAATTCTATTCAAAGATGTATTAACAGTTGTATGTATGCTTTTATTCGATTCAATTATCATACGGATAGTACACATTAAAGTTGTCAAACAGACAACACATCAGTTTATACACCTTTTCTCAAAAACCAGCCATTACAATGTTTAGTACAATTAGTAAGTGCTGAAAGCTTTAAATATGGAACGACAAATGTGTACGAGCTACAAGTGTGCCAGATATTAAATAAACATACAAAGTGGAGTAATGTTGTACAATACATCAGGCCTGAATGTAAGAGACTGACAGCCTGTTAAGCTACATCTTTAGGTTATGATTTAGTACCTTTACCACACACATAAACCAGGTTTATTATTTTTATCCTAGCACTTTCTTGACAGTTCAGTATTTTTTCTGTTGTCTGTAGAGATGACTGCAGATGTTAGATAGGTAGCCTTACACGCTCTGTGTGTGTGTGTGTGTGTGTGTGTGTGTGTGTGTGTGTGTGTGTGTGTGTGTGTGTGGTTTTAGGTGGGTATTAAGAGCATTAATTGTACCCTTGCACTGATAACTACACGACGCAAATCCAAGTATGTCTAAATAATAGGGACTCATAGCCTGAAATCAAATACCTACAGATCCATAAATCTGCATTCTCGGCAGAAACCCATAACAGAAACTGGTGAGTAATCCTCTCAGTTTGGCCGGTAATCTGACAGATTCTGCCACCACCACTGTGAATTATGATTATAAACATATAATCTCCAAAATAATAAATTGTTATCAAAGAATAAGCTTTTTAAAAAAAAAAAAAAAAAAAAAAAAAAAACCAACTAAAGCTCCATTTACAGTGGACGATGGTCATATGTAGCGGTTTAGAAATCGTAATCAGATACTGCGTTCCAAACAGGTCTTATCTAATGTGTTATCTAAAATGTTAAGAACATCCTGTATTTGTGCTCTTTCAGATTAGTTCACAACAAGTGAAAACACTGTAAAGAGGATTTTGATCATTAGTTTAAGCAACAACAAAAAGGAAATGTCCCAAATTCCCCAGTTCTGACTTTGTAAATACTACGATTTTTGTCTGTAAATCTGAATAAATGCAGATAAATTTAGATTACAGAATATCATTCACCTTATAT